GTGGCGGCTACCGAGGCTGCCCTGGGGTGGGGGTAAGGATGGGGGTTGCGGCCAGAGAGTGAGGTGGAAAATGGATTACACCACAGCAGGCTGCATGGCAGGCCCCCCCGAGGAAAACACTGACCCTCGAGCAAAAAATTGTTAGCTACGGGGCTGAGTTGGCTACTCTTAACCACTACTCCAAACTTAAATTGTTAGCCACTTTGGTGGCTCGTGTAAGGACTGACAGGTGCGATACAAATTCTGTAAATAAACAAACAAACAAATAAATAATTTAAAAATGCTGCAGAGAGATTGCTCAGACACTAGAGTTTGTTATCTGAATGGAAATAAGAAATACTAAAAAGTTAGAAGAGGTTCTTTGCGGAAGACAAAGAGCCATTAAAGTTTTACAAATAAAACTGATAAAACCACCATGAAAAAGACAAAGAAGAACTGCAAACATGATACTGAGCCAAAAGTAGAAAAGAAAAGAATGAAGTGGTTGGCCTCTAAAAACAAAGGCGGGAGTTGAAAGATAAATACCCTAGAGTTTACTAACTATCTAAGGGCTAACTCCTCCATGCAAACTGTCAAATTTTCTCACATAGCAATCACTCTAGCCGTTCCCAAGTACAGGATCTCCTGGAAAAACATCAATGTGAATCTAGCTGAATAGGAATATATTCCAGCAGTAGTCTGGAATGTTTATTTATCACAGTGGATTTTTTCCAGCTGCAATGACCAGAGGACTCACTGTCCCTGATGCCCTATTTTCATCTATATCCCCCTCAGTTTGGTACTTATGTTTCTGCACTTGCACCTAAGACTCAAGGCAGCGCATACAGGCAGGCAACAAGAAGTTGCAGTAACAATTTACAGCAACGGCTCAGCAGAGTTAAAACAACACACATGTACAAAAGCATAGCCATTCCCATTCTGACAAGCAGTTGGAAAGTACCAGTCCCACAAGAGAGAATGCCCTAGTTCTGACAGTTACCAAATGAACTAACCTAAGAGAGCACACTGTAAGGAAAGGAAGAGGTCAGCAGAAGGGTACAATTAGCTCACGGGAGGATATCAGGAGATGTGGTCTATGAGGAGCAAGAGGCCCAGATTGTGAAGGGCTCTAAAGATAATGACCAGCACTTTAAATTGGACTTGGAAGCCGAAAGGTAACCAGTGCAGCTGCTGAGAGCACCGGAGTGATATGGTTTGAGTGGCTGCTATCGGATAACAGCCGTGTTGCTGCATGCTGCGATAACCAGCGTTGATACCTTTAATAAGTACATATCAGTTGAGATGACAGCATAATGAGATGAGGAATCCGGGGGAGGGGGGGGAGAATTCTTGTGCTGTTATGCATAATATGTTGTTATGTACCGTGGTGTGTGTGTGTGTGCCATTTAGGCACTTGAAAAGGTGCTGTTTTTTTTTTTAAACAAGAGTGCCTCAGCCTGGGCAGCATTTTTAAATTGCTTTCAAATGGCATTGTTGTCCACAGGTTGGACTTACGGATGCCGTCATGTCTAATTTGGTGCTAAAACTCCTTTCCCCGCTGTTACAATATGACAGTGTGGGAGTGTCCCTTGCCCATACGTGGACAGGGTAAATACCAGCAAATAAAGACATTGCAAAAACCTGCTACTTTCACCCCGAAGATTTGCTTGCGGTGTACTGTCATATCATGAACACACATGAAGATACCATATAGTGGGCCAGACCCTTGGTCCATCAGGGTTAGAAATGACTGGCAGAGGTCTTTCACATCACCTCCTGCCTGGTCCTTTTACATGGAGACGCCAGGGATTGAACCTGGGACCTTCTGCAGGCCAAGCAGATGCTCTACCACTGAGCCACAGTCCCTCCCTGGCCCTAAGGAAGTCAGGTTGATGGTAACCAGGACAAGGGCTTTTTCGTTTATAGCTCCGTCCTACTGAAACGAGCTCCCTGCCAAGTTCAGGGCCCTGCGGGACTTGTCACAGTTCCGCAGGGCCGTGAAAACAGAACTTTTCAGGCAGGCGTTCCGATAGGAGCGATGTTTTACCAGCAGTGCCCTGTGGCGAACTCTGATCCTATACGTTCTAATGCGGCGGTACTGCTGAATGTGTCCCCAAATTGCACTTTAGTTTTATCGCCATCTGATGAATGTTTTATATTGACTGGTTGTGTTTTAACTGATGTTTTATATTTTATTGTGAATGTATACTGCTTGTCAGTTCTTGGAAGCCGCCCTGAGCCTGCCTAGCGGGGAGGGCGGGGTAAAAGTGAAATAAATAAATAAATAAATATTAATACGTAAAACAGCCCTTAAGGCAGATAAATATTTCCACAAACTAAACTACCTTGACTGAAACAAATGCAACTAGTAAAACAGGCGCTTCTTGTGTTAAAAAAAGGAAAGAAAGGTATTCCGCTGATCAGATGAAAAACTCAAACCGCACTCACTTTGAAATGCAAATATCTCACACACATACAATGAATGTTTAAAACTATCTCCAGGTAGCCTACGAATCTCAGTGACAACATAAAAGTATGGTCAGTTTAAGGTCAGCTCCTTCTGGAAAAGATTATCTATTTGACTGTCATATTGATCCCTGGAGGGGATCCTTTCCCTCTACAGTCTCTATCATGGCCTTTCCTTGAATCTGGGCACCTGTGTTCATTCTAGGAAAGGCCAAAATGTCTCAGGGCACCAGGGCAGAGGAACTGAACAGTTTGCAATGCTGCTGGGATTGTTTGGTTCAACCTGGCTGATTCACCGACGTCTCCCTGACTGTCTGTGATGCACAATGACACATAGGGATGTCTGAAATCCCCCTGCTGGAAAACCTCCTTCAGTAGCTAAGGAAGAATGAGCTTTGCTGAGTATGCAGGATAGGGGGGCTGTTTGGCATTGGAGATAAAAGCGAGACGTGCGCTCTTCTACTGGAGAGAAGAAGCATATAGCCTTCAAAGGGGGGGGGGGAGAATGGAAAAAATAAAAAGGGGTTAAATGGCAGGGCTCTGCTGTGAAGAAGAGAGGCGAGTTTTGCATTTTTCTGTGCAAACATTCATCTGGGACAGGGATAAGTGCTCACCTTTTACTGAAAAGAAAATTAAAGGGTTTTTTTCCCCCTACAAGTACAAAAACCTCTGTATGAGGAAGGATGAAAGGAAATTCTTACCACGTGGATTTTTGTTCTTCTCATTGACAAGAGGGCATTCAGCAGCAGGGCTGCCCTAGTACTGAATACCCTCCTGTGCCGAGGAGGAGGAAGAACTGCCTTTTTCGCCCCCTACCCAACCGGTGACCATGACAGTTAAATACCCTCCTGTGCCGAGGAGGAGGAGGAAGAACTGCCTTTTTCTCCCCCTACCCAACCGGTGACCATGACAGTATCTCACAAGAAAGAGTCCTAGAAGGAGACAGGGTGTTGTGCTTGACAAGCAACGCGTGCAGCGGTTGGGGGTGCGGAAAGAAGGCGATCTCTCGATCACAGAGGTTCAGCCTGAAAGGAAGATGGCTGCCAAATGCAGTTGGATGTTTGCATCAGAAGTGGATTTTCATTGTTAAACCATCAGTCTGTTTTTTTAGGAATCCCTGTACTTACACTTTGGAGCCAGGGGATACAGAAAGGACATGCAGGTTTTGTAACTGCACCACAATTATCACAAAACTTGAGCTGTTTGTATCGTATCTGTTAAGAAAGCAAAAAGAGACAAGGGGACAGCATCAGGCACTTGTAATGTATTTGCAGTGCTCCATAAGCAGCTATTTCTACAAACGAGGACTTACCTCAGTCCGATCTGTACTTGAGCAGTTTCTAGGATTGTGGCATCGTCTTCACCATATGCAGCCTCTTCACTATCATTTGGTCTGGAGAACCGGGATAAAAGGGGGTTAGGAGAGGTAAATGGTTAAGAAGGACCAATATTTAAACCTCTGAAAACGAATATACTCTACTTAAAAAGGTAAAGGTTCCCTTGCTTGAAAGCCAGTCGAATCCGACTCTAGGGTTGTGGTGCTCATCTCCGTTTCAAAGCCGAAGAGCCAGCCCTGTCCAAAGACGTTTCCGTGGTCATGTGGCTGGCATGACTGAACACCAAGGCACACGGAACACTGTTACCTTCCCACCAAAGTGGTACCTATTTATCTACTTGCAATTTCTTGCTTTTGAACTGCTAGGTTGGCAGGAGCTGGAACTAGAGATGGTAGCTCACTCCATCATGCGGCATCCGGTCTTGAACTACTGAACTACTGACCATCCACAGCCTGCAGTTCAGCGTCTTAACCACTTGAGCCACCGCAGCTGTACTTACTTTACTTACTCTACTTACATTATAGCGAAATGAAATGTTGATTGGAGCATCAATCCAATCTGCAAAACTTTTAGTACCCTGTCTAGTGAACCTCTCATAGTGAGATAGCATGAAGTTGCATCTTATTTATGGATTTAGGAAATAATACTAAGGTTTCTCTCCTTCATGGCCACTTATTTGAAGAGTCACCCTGAAAGACTCTTTATAGTTTTATGATTGCCTGCATGAGCAAAGAAAGAACAGACTGGTACTGGAGATAGACACTCTCCATTTCCCCCCAACTTTGCAAATCCACCCCAGGTTTCTTCTTTGCTGTTTATGTAAGTGTGCACCATCAAGTCGCAACTGACCCAAGTTAGATGCTTTCAAAACAAATGAGAAGCAGAGATGGTTTGCCATTGCCTTCCTTGGCAGAGTTGATGGTCTCCTATCCAAGTACTGACCCTGCTTAGCTTCTGAGATCAGACAAGATCAGGTTATACCACACCATTCCATATCCCCCTTTACTAGTTACTGGGTTATTTATTTGGATTATTATACATAGATTTTTTAAAGAGGCTAGTTCTTAACCACACATCAAAATTCTTCTGTCCTTGAAGTCACTATATGAGGATGTGAACCTACATTTGCATTATTAGAGCCAAGACTTAATACTGGGAAATCCTCAGTCTCTGTTTGTTGTTGTTGTTGTTCAGTCGCACAGTTGAGTCCAACTCTTCACGACCCCATGGACCACATCACGCCACGCCCTCCTGTCTTCTGCCATCCTCTGGAGTTTGCTCAATTTCATGTTCGTTGTATCGATAACACTTTTGCTAAAAATATTTCATGCCAGGTCTGTTCTAGTGAGATCCGGGTGGTGTATATAACAGTAACTCCCCTCTCTGTTTTTTGTATGATTTTCCCTAAGTGGTATGCCTTTCTCAGTGAATATGCTCCTCAGAAATGCCCATCACATTCTTCCAGCTTCCAGAAACAGCCATCTGCGTAAGGAAGAAGGAAGCTCTTTGTCTGGGAAGGTGTAAAAACACACCCACCTTTGCCTCCAAAACCATATAACTATTGATTGGGATTTCCTCCCAACAAGTGGGAGGAAATGCCAGCAGCCCATCAAATTGACCCCCCCCCTCCAATATCAGATGATGTGATGTGAGCTCTGCTAGTTCCTTTAAAATCCTACAACATAGTGACTCCAACACACATTTTCCCCTGGAGCACACAAAGAACACCAAGTGTCAGTTTTGTGTCCATGCTGGGAAGGCATGCGCTCGGATCAATGGAATAACATAAGTGGAATGCCAGGGGAAAGGTTTAGCTAGCAGCATTTAGGGTTTTGTTTTGTTTCTTAGTTGCTTTTCTCACCCAGCCTCTTTCCTGCCTCCGTTCTCTCTGAAATCCCTTTTCGTTTTCCTAATAAAGTTTTCCTTTGTGACACCTTCCCCCCATCTGCTAGATACATTTGCATGAACTGAGCACCCTGATTTGGTATCTCAGGATTTCAGAAGCGGAAGAAAGGGTTGGCACTTGGCAGGGGGTCTCCCTATCTGCTCTCGGTCTGGAAATCTGAAAGTCAGGTGGCAAGCGGTGCTACCAGATCCTTCCCATCTCCTTCTGTCTCACAAGAGTGAGAAGGAAAGGGGCTTTCTCGTCTCCCTCCTATTATGACTGAGTAGTACATGCTCCCCTCTTCATTTTAAACGATGCTTACATTTTAAAAAAATGGTGCAACACCTTCTTGTTTAACAATATTCCGAAACCTGTCAAGTTTTTACGTTATTCAGCTTAGCCAACTCTCCATTGTCCGAACAACTGTGGTTTTTTAAATTTAACTGAAGCCTGCACAGAAGGTTTGAAAGCAGAGCCTCAATACAGCAGAAGATACAGCATCTCAAACTCTTAAATTGGTTTCAACCTAGTTGGCATCTGTGTTGTGCCAGTTCCAGATTCTCCGGGCTGCTGCTTCTTGTCTGTGCAATTTTCCTAATTCTCGCTCTTCTCAGTACTCAGCCTCATTTGTCCTCACTGCCATCTAATTTAATTGGCTGTGGTGACCCCGCTGATGTTGCCTCATCTCGGAGTGTCATTTCGTTACGCTGATGATGTCATTTCAGAGGCAGCAGCATCATGTCATCCACAAAAATTCCAGGGGTTGCTATAGTGACCTGTGATTAAACAACAGTGTGGGCCGGTGAGGCTCAGGACTGTGAAGGAAGAAGGGGAATGACAGCATCCACCCAAAGCAAATTTGTCCACAAGTGCCAAAATCTCAAACAAACAACCCTATGAACACATTAATTCTGAAATATCTCCAGTTTAAATGTATTCTGATGTTCAAATTGCTGCAAATCCCTGGGAATGACAGCAGCAGATGCTGGAATTCTGTTTCTAGACAGACAAAACTGCTTTGCTCCTCAAACCTACTGTTTTACAGAAGCTTCGTATACACCACTGTCTCCAGCCACGGACTCATCAGACACTGCAGCCGATACACATCCTCCTGCCTTCTCCTCAAGCAGGTGACTTACAGTTCTTCTTGGTAAGTCAACATCTAATGGCAAGAGAATGAAAAGGATTTTTTTAGGTTACATTGATGAAATTGTATATACAAAGCTCTGCAATCACAGTAAAGCTTAAAAGGATACTAGGCATCAAGGGGAAACGTTTTATTATATATATTTATGCCCTGCCTTTCTCCATGGCCCAAAACAACTTCAAAACATATAAAACACAATAAAACTCCAAAACACAATAAAACTCCAGGTTACCCCCCTTTAATTTCATTATAATGGTTTATAATCACAAAATGTATAATTGCAACAGTTTCAGCCTTTTCAGACTCCGGGAATTTTAACCCCAAACAAATAGTTCCAGCTTGTTATGTGGCACTAAGGAAAGCCAGGCGTATTGAAATTCTACCTTCTTCAGAACTATTAAAGGTACAGGGGACATTTCCTCCCTTGTAACAAGTTAATGTCTGGTGTTCTCCTACTCAAACTCAGATACACACCCTAAACAAAAAAACGAAAAGGGGATGGTGTTCTACAGGTGCAGCCCATCTTAGGTTGCAATAGGGCTGCCAAGTGGGGGTGGGTAAACCCCCGCTTTGGAGGCCCGGTTTCCGCTGCCGCGGAATCGGGCCCCGGGGGGAACTCTGCCCCCCGAAGAGCAGCGTCACAGGAAGTGACGTGCACGTTGACCACGTTGGGGGCGTGGCCCGAATCTATGGTTTTCCCTCCCACGATTGTGGCCACGCCCTCAACGTGGTCGACATTGCACGTCACTTCCTGTGACGTGCTGGCGGTGCGCGCACTTCTCACGTACGCGCATCCGGGGACAGCTCCCGGAGCCAGCCAAGGCTCCCCCGCCGGTGAGTATTTTCGACTTGGGAACCCTAGGTTGCAACACAACAGATTTGTGGGCCCCAACTAGAGATGTAAAATTTCCAGAAATTTTGAAGCTATGAAAAAAAAATCAGTTTTTTTTAAATGACTAAGTTATAACATTGGAAGCATTTATGGGATTTAAAAGTTATAAACACCTTAGTTTTCTACACGCAAACCTCAAATATACTTAAGAGAAAACCACAAGTTGATTCATCCTATACTACCTTAATCCATATACCTTAATCCTTGTTATCTCAAAAGGAGGAAAAATAGGAGCTTTGTGTTAAATAACATAAATATATTATTTGGTTAGAAATAAAGGTCAAAGGGTCAATAATATCTGCACACCTAGATGTCGTCTTCCTTCTGTGGGTACTGGTTAGAGAGAGATGAGTTCTCAATGAAATTTTCGGAGTTTTCCTCTGAAGCTTTGGACTTTTCCGCATGAGTTTTTTCCATCGGTTCTGGCCCCATACCACTTCAGTTTGTCCCGGCTTCCACACACATTTTTGTACCTTTAGTTTCCACTTCTCTTTGGGTTTTTTTGCCCCCCCCCCCCCCCCGGATTTTCTTTCACAGTTATTTTGAGACTCCTTTTACCCCAATGCTTTTCTGGAAGCTGATTGTGAGTTGGCTTTTTCCTTGTCCCACGCACTTCCACCCACCTCCAACCCATTATTCGATAATCGGACTGTTGTGGTCAAACCACTCCCCCCCGCCGAAGATAAGTGATTTTTCTTTTTTCTTAAACGGCACTAAAATAGAGAGATATTGCTGGAGCGTAGTAACAATAGGCTTAGCAGGTTCTCTGGATTCCCAGCTTTCGTTGCACGCAAAAAAAGTCTCTAGCCTGTTCCCTTGTAGAGACATGCCTTTTCCCTTATACCTCTGCAAGGGAAATGTCTAGAAACTTACTTTTTTAAAATGAAAGCTGGGAGTTCAGAGAAACTGCTAAGCCTATAGTTACAACATTCCATCGATATATTGCTATTTTAGTGCAATTTGTTTAAACGGGGGGTGCTATGATGCCACCGATTACACCACTGATGATGACAGCACCCTCCCTTGAAAATCTTCATTATTGAAGGCGTGTGAGGAAGAAAATAAACTGACTCCACAACAGGAAAAATGCAGACAGAGGGCAAACGTGTGGAAGAACCGTGCCCAATGCTTGTGGACTGATTCTCAAGAAATCCCAAGAAAGTGTATCTTGTTATATTTTTCCTCCTTCCTTTCCCCTTTTCAATACAAGGGTAAAATTCCAGTTCACACTTCAAATGTAGAATAGTGTCATGAATGTAATGGAGTTATTGCATTGCATTGCAAATGGCATGTTGGATGAACCAGTTAAACCAAAGTCCTTATTTTGCTTGGCCAACACAGAAATCAAAACCTACGGCTACTATTTACGGGAAAAATTAGATAGAAATTCTCTCTGCTGAAATCCCAGCAAGTAATAAATACTAATTCCACTTTCGCTTTAGCTTCATGGCCACAACCAACAAGGGAATCTTCAGGGCCAACCATTACTTCACTTAAATCTTCAACTCATATTCATGTGCTAGTGCCCTGCAGAGAGCAAGAAACATTCACTATAAGCAGCATCCTGTAATGTAATAAGTTGCAGGCCTGTGGAGTCCTTTCATCTGCCAAGGAGCCAAGTGTATTGGTATGCATTACGCCCCCCTCCTGAGTCATGACTTTACATCTTGTTAAGATGTTTAAATTTTAAGGCTCCAGATTAGAGGATTGATTGCTGCATTTCTCCTTTCATTTGTAGCAGTGGGGATGCTTTTTCCTTGATGATGAAGTGCTTTTTCTTCCACTACTTTGAGAGGGGTGAAGGTGATGACATGATTTATTGATTACCCCCAGGAATAACTGCAGCAGTCTGAAATCGACTTTGACAATGACAGCCAAAACCAAAGGCACAGGTTTGGGGGGGGGGGATTAAGTACATGCTTAACTTTCCCCCTGAAATCTATGGGATGAAAAGTACTAAACTCTGAAATGAGCACACAGCAGCCCTTTGTACGAATGTATACAACATCAGTGCTTTGAATTATAAGATATTAGCAGAATAGATAACATACTTTTATTTAGTTTGCATTCTGAACAGATAATATTAGGGGATGTCAGTCAGGCAACAAGGCATGTAGTGGGAAATACATAAGATAATGGATTTTTGGCAAGCAACACTGGCACATGTAGGAACAGAGACTAGGGCAGGTAGAATGATAATCATGCCCTGGCCACATAATAGTGTTGCCAGACTGCCCCCCCCCCCGGTGAAGGCAGGGGTCCCCTACTGGCAGGCTCCATCCCCCAGCTGCCGATCAGCTGGCCGAGGAGTGACTTACCAGAAGAAAGAGGAAGGCCCAGGCTATGATGCCCATGCTGCACCGGAACTGATGTCATCACACCAGCAAACTCTGGGTGACACTTTGATATTTGGGCAAAAACTCTATGGTAGAAGCCATTTTACCATAGAGTTTTTGCCCAAATTCCAGAGTGCCGCAGTGATGTTGCAGCTTGATGATGTCACTTCCTGTGTGACACCGGTGACATGGCCCGGGCTTTCCTTTTTCTCCTGGTAAGTTCCCCCCATCCCCTGCCAGTGCTAGGAAGGACCTGGCAACAATACCTCATGAAGGCCCAAATGTAACTCAAGTTACATTTGACTTCTGTAATGTTGGCAGACATTGCCTTTGCTTCAAACATTTCCACCTTGGTAATGAGGGGCAGAATACTTCCCTATTTAAAACACAGAAGTTGCTTGACTCTCAGGGCTCAGGAAGTAAGGTCAATTTACCACACTTAGTAGCAGGATGGAAGCTGTATGGATTTCTAGTCACCCTGCACAATCATTCATATACAGTGCTATACTTTAGGAAGATTTTTAGATGGCTGTAGCACTGGAAGAGCACTAGGGAAGGTTAAGACTTGCCAATAAAAATGTCACACTGCCCACAGTAGAGGAATGCAGACTCTCCCCTCTTGACCCACGAAAGCTAAATGTGAAGAAAAACCTTTCTTAAAAGTGTCTGCCCTTGGCCATCTGTGGTTCTTACACTTTTGGTGAGGTAGAGAATATACTATTTCCTAAGCCCAGCCAAATGTGTTAAGCCTAAGTTAAATACTGAAATACTGTCATTCACACTACTAATAGATTTTTCTTTCTTTACTCGGGCAACTGAGCAGATGGTAGACGGTCAGCCTTGGGAGCCCAGCTTGGACAATGACAGGTGGCTATCGATACCGCATGTCACCAATCCACTTTGGCCGCTGCCACTAATTCTTTGCTACAAGAAGGCCTGTGCTGTGAAAAAAAAAATGTTTCAGTTGCCACAGGAATCCCAATGTTTGACCAAATCAAAGTTCCTTAGCAATCCAAATAACCAAGTATCAGTGTTGGCAGTTTCTCTCCTTATTAGCTATCATAATGCTCTGTAACAAGGGGAAAAGGAATCTGAAATTAAACGCCTTCACCAGAAGGTGGCAGAGCAATACTGAATGTCGGAAGGGGTGGAGAGGTTCTAAACAAGCCCAAGACGAGGCTCTTAATGAAGAACGCAGAGGGAGCACCCCTAAGCAGCTTCACTGGATGATACCCTAATTAGATCAGCACCGACTGCCTTTTTACTGTTGCCCTTTATCCTTTTGGGAAAGAACATAATCCTAAATATGCTGATTTTAAAAAACAACAACACCCTCCTAAGTTTGGTCTTGCAAATACAAATACAGTTCTTGATGCTAGTAAAGAAATCCATTCACAACAAACTCATGAGTTGAGCCATGTTCTTAATCTACGCCTTGGAAACTGAAGACAGTGTCTTGCTATCTTACGAATGAGTTCCATGCACATAGTGTTGCCAACTCCTGGCTAGAATACTTCTTGGCATTTAGGAGTGGAGCCTGGGAAGGGGAGGGTTTCGGAAGGGATCTCAGTGGGCTATGATGCCACAGAGTCCACCCTCCAAAGCACGCATTTTCTCCAAGGGAACCGATCTCTGTGGTCTGGAGGCCAGTTGTATTTCTGGGAGATCTCCAGGCCCTACCTGGAAGCTGGCAACATTACAACCGCCTTGCAATTAAAAACCTGAATGACATTCTCAGAACATATTTACCCCTTTCTAGGAGTTCACAAGCAGGGGTCATTTCCTGCGGGAGCGCGCAGGAGCGGAGCGCCGGCAGTAAAGAGCCCAGGGGGCGGGCACATGCAACAAGCCCCGCCCCCTGCTCCCAGCAGCCCTCAGTCAGAGCAAGAAGCAGCCAGGTAAGTTGCAGAGCTCCCCCCGCCCCCCCGGTCCAAAACAGACCAGTGCAGCCCCGTAGGTAGCAACTTTTTGCTGGGGGGCCCAATTTTTTGCTCAGGGGGCCAGTCTGTATGGAGCTATATGTCTGTATGGAGCTATGAGCATTCTTTCCTCCCCACCCCAGACTGTGCTGGTTCAGATGGGGCTGATCGACTAACTGCAAATCAGTGTACTTCAGAGCTGTGGAGCGCACAGCTGGAATCCTGTGCCTTGTCTCGCACAATGACTTCCCTGCGATCCCATGCGGCCCCCATTTCACTGACAGGCATGTAGCTACTGTGGAGCTCAGGGGGAAGAGAAGCCAAGGGCCCTGGAACAAACGTTAGGGGGCCGGGCCCTGTGGGCCCCACGTTAGCTATGGGCCTGGACCAGTGGCACCTTTAAGGCCAGGGTTTATTCAGGTGCAAGCCCTCCCTCCTCTGCGAGGACAGATCTGCTTGTCCCCCCCCCCCCCAAACGCTGCCATTCAAAACAAGTCAAGCAGTGGAGCCTGAGCGGTGGGTGTTGCCTTCTGACACACTTCCGGTGATGTCAGGGGTGTGTGGCATATGCAAATGAGTTATGCTAATGAGTTATGCTAATGAGTTCCTGCACCTCTTTGTCTACGAAATGACCCCTGTTTACAAGTAAACTATTCAAGTTACAAATGGGGTTGGTTCATGTGTAAAGACAAAGGATCACACATACTCCTGTCTCCACTGGCAGCCTTTGACTGCCTCCTTTTTTCACTGCACCCAATCCAGCCAACTATTGCTTGTGCAGAACCACTTCAAGACATGTTTCCCAATTCTGGCCCTAGGGCAAGGGCAAACCATAATTTGCCGATTCAGATATAATGGCAACTTTGGTTTGCTGCAAAAGGAACAGAAAGGAACTGGAGGATTCAAAGGGAGGATGAAGGAAGGAGTGCACAAGCCTGAAGCAAACTTGGTGGTGGAAAGTACTGTCCAAGTCCCTGCCAAATTATGGTGACCCCCATCGGGGTTTCAAGGCAAGTAACAAACAGAGGTGGTTTGCCACTGCCTGCCTCTGCATAGGAACCCTGGACTTCCTTAGTGGTTTCCCATCCAAGTACTAACCAGTACCAACCACGTTAGTTTCTGAGATTTGATTAAATCTGGCTATCCTGGGCCATCCAGGTCAGGGGTGAAGTAAGTTTACATTAAGGCTGATTTCACACAAGGAGCTGCGCTGCCGTTGGGCCTTCCTTTGCCCCGTTTCCATTGGTCAATTTCCCACTTGAAGCAGTGTGGCTGCATTTTGACCCGCGGCTTTGCACAATTTTCCCCACGGTTTTGTGATCCTGTTTTTTTTAGGATCACAAAACCGCGGGGAAAATCGGGCGAAGGCGTGGGTCAAAATACGGCTGCACGGCTTCGAGTGGGAAATTGACCAATGGAAACAGGGCAAAGGGAGGCGCGACGGTAGCGCAGCTCCTTGTGTGAAATCAGCCTAAGTCAAATCAAGCCACAGAGCCATAAAAGAGATTAAGCAGCAAGATGTACATCCACATACCCGTATATTAAATGCAAGTTTCCCGCGATCACATTTTTACCTGCACTTCTTGAAGGTGATGTGATCTGTCTCACATTTTCACTGAGGTCTTTATCATCTGCCAGGGACTGAGAAGATGTCCTGGTTTCGGAGTCCGACAGCATTTGGTTCTCACAGAGGCTAATGCCTGCAAAATCGCTCGGCAAATCGCAGTCTTCAAAGTCTGCTGTGAGGTGGTGCAATGGAGAGTCTTGAGGTGGCACTGAGAAGGCAGCTTCTAAAACCAAGGGCGATCCAGGAGGGGACAAGGAGGAAAGGGAGGATCTTGAAGACAAGGAGGTCACTGATTTTGGAGGTTCAGTTAATTTGGGGATATAGCCTGCTGCCGAAGAGCCAGAAGAATCACTATAGCCTATTCTCCCGTGGGAGTTGACCACCTCGTTCTCATGTATGGTAGTGATAGGGCCTGATGGAATGTAACCACATTTCTCTTGCAGCATGAAGTCCAACTTATACTGATAGTCCAGGTCTGTGGTTTGATCACCTTGGTTATAATACAGGTCTGTAGAGCTAAGGGAATTCAGCGATCCCCTGCTAGATGTGTTCAGAGACCCACGACTGGATGCCAGGGACCCCAGGCTGCTCCCGGAAGATACAGATAATGTACTGGCAGAGAGACTACAAAAAAAAGAGATGAAAACAAGCTGCGCGTCATCTTGAACATTTATACGCCTGATTATTAACAGTTCAAAATAAAAGGTAAAATATTAAATGTAGTCCGATCTGACCATAAAGCAGACAAGCGTAACAACACATTGTAAAAATATGCTTTGTAGTCTGGATATTCAGTTATAGCTTGGTGAGAATTTCTGGAGTCTCATTTGTTAACTATGGCAAATCTGTTTCAACCTGACAGCGCCCCATGAGAGTGTACCAACTGTGCAGGATTACAGAATGTTTTGTACCTTTCAACAATTGTCATTTTTAATGCAATTGGACTACAATGTGTTATGAGGCTCCTCTCATCTTTTACGTTTCTTTGGGATGACTTCTCCTTCCATCTATGGTATTTTGTGTTCCTTTCATTAGAGGAAACAGACAATGCATAAGCACTGCAAGAATGCCAGAACCTTAATTGAAGAGGAGGATGAGGATGAAAAGAACTGTTAAAGTGAAAAAGAAGACTTAGATGGCCATTTTTTTTTAATGCAGTAAGTGCCTTCTTTTCTATCAGTCTGATTTAGATTAGCCTAAATGCATAGTTACCTTGAGAAAATACTGTTGTGCACACAAAAGGCTATTCCACACACCCAGGTTCAGACAGTATTTCAGCTGCCATAGAAGAGTGGCCCTTGTACTGAGTGGCCATTCTGGTCACTTTGTTTAATGATCTGATAATCTGATTTACCAGTCTACAGTGGAAGGTCAGTAGCACCTCAGAGACCAACAAGACTTTCAGGGTACATGCTTTTTAGATTCTACGCTCCTTTCGCTTGGTATCTGAAAAAGGAAGCTTTGAGATTCCAAAGTGTATATCCTGAAAATCTTGACCTCTAAGGTGCTACTGGACTCCAACCAGGGCCGGCTCACCCACTTGGCGAACTAGGTATTCGCCTAGAGCGCCGGGCCCTGGATGGGGCGCCAAGCTGTGCCTCCCTCCTCCTCCCCCCTTTGGTGGGTGGCGGGGGCGGGGATGCAGTGGTGGCAGCAGCAAAAGGGCGGCTGGCTCCAGAGGGCTCCAGGTCTCCAGGCCCCACCTGGAGGTTGGCACCTGCGCCATAAGGCAGCCTCGCCTAGGGCGCAGAAACACCTCGAGCCGGCCCTGACTCCAACCTATCTCTTCTGGAGCAGACCAACATGGCTACCCACCTGAAAGCAACAGGACTACCCAAGGAGAGAAAAGGGCGCAATTAGTGTTGCTTTAAGAGCAGTGGCTTAAGAGAAGCTCCCATTGTTGGCAGTCCCCAGGCAGGGAATGGAGATCTCCCAGAATAACAACTGATTTCCAGACTATAGAGATTAGTTCCTCTGGAGAAAAAGGCTGCTTTGCAGGGTGGGCTCTATGGCCGTATCCCCTGCTTAGGTTCCTCCTCTCACCAGATGGTGACCTTTATAAGCTCTGCCTCCAGATCTCCAAGAATCTCCCAGCCCAGACCTGGCGGCCCTAAGCCCTGCCCTGCCTGTGACTGTTGACAAGTTTTCTTGGCAACTGCACCTGAAGGCAGGGTTGCCACCCCCCTGATGGGGGCGGGATCTACAGTGGATTGATCCTCCTCGTCGCTTCAGTGTAGCCTGGAGCACCATGAGAAAGGGACGTCTGGACAGTTTCAGCAATTGTTTCAGGGGAGTCGGTCCCCTCTACTCCAACAGCTCTAAGTCAGCTTAAATGTGAACATTTCCACCAGCATGTGAATCACACTACCTGACTCAAGAAAATTCTTCTGGACTATTCAATACTAATGATAAAAAGGAATAAAAAGTATTTTACATCCCGCCTCTCACCTATAGCTTGCGGTTTTCCTGTAGCACAAGCCACAGCAGCAACAGGAAAACCCAAGGAGAGAAAAGGGCGCAATTATTGTTGCTTTAAGAGCAGTGGCTTAAGAGAAGCTCCCACTGTTGGCAGTCCCCAGGCAGGGAATGGAGATCTCCCAGAATAACAACTGATTTCCAGACTACAGAGATTAGTTCCTCTGGAGAAAAAGGCTGCTTTGCAGGGCGGGCTCTATGGCCGTATCCCCTGCTTCGGTTCCTTCTCTCACCAGATGGTGACCTTTACAAGCTCTGGCTCAGATCTCCAAGAATCTCCCAGTCCAGAGCTGGCGACCCTAAGCCCTGCCCTGCCTGTGACTGTTGACAAGTTTTCTTGGCAACTGTACCTGAAGGCAGGGTTGCCATCCCCCTGATGGGGGCGGGAGTTCCCCTGATTTTGGGCCCCCCAATTCGCTGCCAGGCAGCTGGCCCCGCCCCTGAAGAGCCCCATCCCACACAACATGTCCAGCACAATGACGTCACCTGGAGGTGAGATCATCGCACTGGGCACTTCATGCAGGGGACACTCTAGGCGGGCTCTATGGCCGTATCCCCTGCTTCGGTTCCTTCTCTCACCAGATGGTGACCTTTACAAGCTCTGGCTCAGATCTCCAAGAATCTCCCAGTCCAGAGCTGGCGACCCTAAGCCCTGCCCTGCCTGTGACTGTTGACAAGTTTTCTTGGCAACTGCACCTGAAGGCAGGGTTGCCACCCCCCTGATGGGGGCGGGAGTTCCCCTGATTTTGGGGCCCCCAATTCGCTGCCAGCCAGCTGGCCAGTGGGGGGAAGCCCCGCCCCTGAAGAGCCCCATCCCACACAACATGTCCAGCACAATGACGTCACCTGGAGGTGAGATCATCGCACTGGGCACTTCATGCAGGGGACACTCTAGCATGTGACTAGCCCAAATGCTACAGTGTCCCGCCCAATGTGCCTAGCATGATGATGTTACCTCTGGGTGATGACATTGTGGCACGCGTGCTTTGCGTGCGTATCAGAAGACTCCCGGACCCAGACTGGACCCCCCCCCAACTAGCGGCCAGGTAAGACCTGGCAACCCTACCTGAAGGGCCTATGTCCTGGAGAAATGGGACAGGGAAAAGAGTTCAGGTTTGTTACTACCCCCATCTTCTCATATGTATTACTTTAATATATTAGGTTTTGCTGTAATTATTTTTGTTTCAAATTGTTTTATTAACTGTTGTGATGCCCACAATGATTTAATATGAAGTTAAAAGGCTCTAAATGAATGAATAATCCATAAGTAACTGTGCGCAGTAGAGGCAATGCTGACACAGGGCAGACCTGATAAAAGCAGTAGGGAGCCAAACATTCCATAGCAGCTACACAGCACATTTTTATGTGACAAAATGTAAAACTGTTCACAAAATCTCATCCTGAATAGTGATATTCAAATGATCTTGCAAAACAAGCAGCACACAAACAGCACGAACAGTCCAAACTCACCTTTTAAGCTGCAAATGCAAATAAGTAGTTAGTTTAGTGGTTTCTTCAAGTTTTTTAACTAAGGTCTTTCTTCTCTCTTCCAGTTTTAACCTAGAAAATACAAGCATCATTGTTATTGTATAAAAATAGCTCTGCCTAAGCAGTCAAAATCTATGTTGCAGATGGAATACAAACTTAAAACCCTCTCTCATTGGCACACTGCGTTTTCGCTATGTTAATCCATCTGTAAAAGGCCAATTTTGCAAGTGACTAGCCATAATTTAGATCACGGCAAGCAGAGAGGGGGATTTAACCCTTTTATTCTGCTTCATTATGCTAATCAAAACCAGGTTCCCTCTGCTTTAAATAGAAAAAGACTGTTTTTTAAAGGATGCATCTTTTTTCCTTTAAGGTACTAATAACAGCATAGAAAGCCCAGTTTTGATTAGCAAAACTGGGAGCGGCTGAAGAGCTAAATATTCCCCCCACCTGTGTGGCTCCAAATCTGAATGGGGGCCATGTGTGCACAGCTTACCTTTACAGACAGATATATGACTTTTCCCATGTCAGTTAGTGCTTCAAAGCGGGAGCTCAAGGAGAGCTATAGTGTGGTATAGTGGTTAGCGAGTGCTGGAGTAATACTGGGAAGACCTAGGTATAAATTCCTACTTGACATGAAACTTCCTGGCTGGCCCTGGGCCAGTCATTGTTTCTGAGCCTATACATCCTCAAAGGGTTGTTACAAGGATAAAATGCAGGACTGGAGAATCATACATGTTGCCATGAGCTCCTTGGAAGAAGGGCAGGATAAAAAGGCAGGATTACTCAACAGCTTTGCACTGCTACAAATGGTACCCGATCAAGAGATGTTTACATCAATATACCAAGTTTTTCCAATGCAATGCAACTTGTATAGTCCACTGTGGCATAAGGGTATAGAACATACAGCCAACAAGGAAAGACAGCAAGGTCACACATCGCTTTTATATGTTCCTCATACATCATACCGTTCCTCAAATACCACCAGTTTCCATTAAAAAAACCCAAAACTTTTCATAACTAACTAGATAACCCTGACAATGTCTTTCCACTAAGGGCTGTAAAGGTTGTTCAATTTCATTGACTTCAACCAAAATCATGGATTCAAAGCACAAATATCCGGAAAGTACTTGATTTCCCGGGTGTAGGAAAACTCGCTAGGGAACCGGGAGGATTGAGCAAGTGAGCCCACTTCGGTGCGGGAGACGGATGCGGCCATCTGATCAGCAATTTTAAATGCGAGAGGGAACAGCGGTGATACCCGATCAAAATGATCATGTGACCACAACCTAAGAGCCAAGGCCATCAATGCAGACAGCACTGCAGCCCAAGGAGCCAAAAGCTGGATGAGCAAGACTTCCGGTAGGCAACAGGTAGGATTACTTCTGCAGTCTAGAGATGTTCTCCCTTTCCGTTCTCTGCTTTCATTGCCTTCAACTCCCAGGATGAATTTCAACCCTTTCCTCCCATTCTCCCTTGTAAATTTTAACAGTTTGAAATGTTGGAAAATAAAAAGAACACACACACAAAAATCTAAAGTTGCGTAAGCTTGAATTCAACTACAGAGTAAGGATTTTGAAAACAGAATTTATGTTCTTTTAATGCAGAATCCATTGCTAGTCTTCCCTCTCTCCCAATAATTATTCTAGCTCTAGGGTCATTAGGCCCGGCCTGGCAACCAGCAGAAGACCCATGAAGGGGGACATGGGGGGGCCAGCCATGTCCCTAGGCTCCACTCTCAAAATTTCCAGTAATTTCCCACTCTAGAGTTTGCAACCCTATTTATAAAAGACCTGCATACATTAAATACGGGGCAAGGGGAAAATGGCTATTTAATTAATGCAGGACTCTGCCATATAGCTTTGCTGTTGTAGTACAGTTGTCTATAGGGCTGCCAAGTCCCCCCGGGGGGCGGATTTCTCCCCACTTTGGAGGCCCGATTTCCACCGCCGCGGAATCAGGCCCCGGGGGAAAACCCACCCCGGCGTGCACGTCAGCCGGAGGTGATGTGATGATTGGCCCCGCCCCCAGCATGCCCGGCGTCATCACGTCACCTCCAGCTGACGTGCACGCGGCGCGCGCGCTCGGGACACCGTCCGGGAGCCCCCTGCCACAACGAAAAACGGACTTGGCAACCCTAGTTGTCTAATATCTAAACATATCACATCGTTCAGCATCAATGCTTCTTAAAAGCAGGATGAAATACAGGCAAAAAGCATTACAGCTCTGCTTTTAATAATGCCCTTTTGTAATTCTACATATCACATCTTCTGTTTTGTACCCTTTCTCTCCCCAGTGCTGTTTTTAAGTTGCCAAAATTATTAGAACGATTCTGTCTCCTTTTAGTTGCTGTTTTACTATGCAATATTCAGATATTAAGTCTGAATAAAAAGTATGCAGTTGCTCCCCTCCCCCCCTTACAAAGTTTTAAACTTGTTTTAGAAACTTTCCCTTCGGGAGACTTCTCTCTGAAACTGCAAGTACAAGGGCAGGTTTCAAATGCACACATCCCATCAAAGGTACAGCTCGGCATGCAAAATAGACATTTAAGCTCTGGGGGTCTTAGCACTAAGGTTTATTTCCTTTGTGATGCAGACACCTTAAGGGAGGGGTAAAGGCCTCCACTTTAGTATAGCACTAAATACACATTGAAATCTACTCTTGTTCCGTGTAGGATTCTAAATGCTCCATTGGTACAGACCTACAAAGAGAAGGTAGAAATGCCTCAGTGGAGAGCACTGAGACTTAGTTCCTTAAATATCAGGTTTATGTTTTTCCCCCCTCACTTTTCTCCCACGGGCAATGCTCCTTTTCGCCACATGCATGAAAATCAGCCAAGTGGCCATAAGAGTGTATCTGTGATGTCTTTTATTACATTAAGGGATTTCTATTAGATCTTCTTCTTATTCCAGAATATAACAACTGTATAAAACCTAGTGGATGCCTCTTATGCTGAATGCTATATGTACTCTCCTCATTTTAAAAGTTTGATCTGGCATTCCAAATGGCTATAAAGAGATCCCTTGAAATATTCAGGGCCAAATTGTAGGAAAAGGTCAGATAAAAACAAAACAAAGAAACCACACAGAGAGACTAATTCATTCCAGTTAGCCAAAAGGATCGAGTAGAATTTTCCAGAGCTTTCTGGTATTTTGGCTAATGCCATGCCAGTTCTACAAACTGGTGTGTATGAGCAGATTCCTGGTTTTACAAATACATCGCAGGGCTCTTTTTGTAGCAGGTACTCATTTGCATATTAAGCGACACCCCTAATGTAGCCAATCCTCCAAGAGCTTAGAGTAGCTCCTATAAGAAGAGCTCTGTAAGCTCTTGGAGGATTGGCTACATGAGGGGTGTGTCGCCTAATATGCAAAGGAGTTCCTGCTACAAAAAGAGCCCTGCGATTTACGCAACAGTATAAAATGTCGATGGACACAGCCAGAGGAGTAACAAAGAACAACATAAATTTGCATGCACTATGCAGGCAGGGGAACTGGGAGGTTGCTTCATTCCTTCCAGGTGCCCGGACATTGCCAAATGTGCAAAGGTTCCCATTGTGACTGTGCCACTAAAAATTCTGGTTTTCTCTGAGAGAGAAAAATAACTATAGGTGACTGACCAAGATTAACATTGATTTAAATGGCTGTGCAAATGTGATAACTGGGTTTTGACAACAAGATTCAGGGCTCATATCAATTAATATTTGAAGACTATTTTGAAAAGCCAATTTCCCTTTAGTTGGTCTACAGATGAAAGTCAGTTAAAAATGGGCAAAGCACCGTTTGTACACACACAGAGAGAGAGAGAGACACATCCTGGATGTTCTAGAACACGGGTGGCCAAACTGAGGCTCGGGAGCCACATGCTGCTCTTTCCCACATATTGTGGGGCTCCCGGCAGGGCAGCTGGGGAACCGAAGGGAAAGCATGCCTCCCCGATCGGTCTTCCCTTCCCTAGCCAGTGTTCCCCTCCCTGGGTAGGCTTGAGGTAGGGGGAGGGGTGCAGCGAAAGAAAGCAACTTTAACTTTAAATATGTTCTCAAAGCCCCCCCCCCCCCGACTTGGAGAAGGCATTTGTCTCTTTAAATCCCTTCGCCAAGCCAGCTAGCGTGGGGGCGTGAGGGGGTTAGAAGACACATTTAAAGTTAAAGTTGCTTTCTTTCCACCCCTCCCTCCATTTATTTGCTTTCTTTCCAATTTATTTCTTTCTTTCCACCTTTCTTTCTTTATCTCTCTCCCCTCCTTCCTTTCTCTTTCTCTCTTCTTTCCTTCCTCCCTCCCTCCCCCATCTGCTTTCTTTGTTTTTCTCTCTGTCTTTCTTCCTACCTCTTTCATTCTTTCTTTCCACCTCTCTCTCTCTTTCTCTCTCTCTTAGACAAATAAATATCATTAGCAAACAAATAAATATCATTGGACAAATAAATATTATCAATATCTGTTTTTACCCCTTTTGTTTTATTTTTGACAGTCTTATTTAATGTTAATAAAAAGCAACTCTTCATATTTTCCAATAAAAACATGTAATATTTGTTTATTCTATGTGGCTCTTACATTAAGCAAGTTTGGCCACCCCGTTCTAGAACAATAAGCCAAGGGACAGCTTTGGCTGTGGTAGCAGTCAGAATTACATACTGAATGCCTACAATGATGTGGGAAATTTACAAGTCACGTGGCACACTCTAATCATGGAGGAAATGTTTTATTTGCTTCTGTATAAAAAAGGCTTTTATTGGTAGTTTGATACCTGAACCAGAATTCCAGCTCTTGTAATTTGATGGCCATAATTTTAATTTTCTCATGGAATTGTCCACAAGAAATAATATTTACGAACACTATTTCACTGAAGAAGAGAGATAAGTGAAAAGAGATCGGATTTATACCCCACCCTAGCTTTTCCAAAGTGTAAATTCACTCTCTGTACCTCAGTGGTCACTGGACATCTCCTGTCCATCCTTCCTTGGGTACTACTGCTTTAGAAGTTATGGCACCCACTGTGATATTCATTAGTAGGAGACCTGATGTCCTGTGGCAAAGGAGTAAAACTTGTTCGCTAAATCACAAGATTTCCCTTTGAAATGGCTTGTGCCATTCCCTATCTAGAATCTCCTCCCGCAAAGGATGGATGGAAGGAAGGAAGGAAGGAAGGAAGGAAGGAAGGAAGGAAGGAAGGAAGGGAAAGTGGGTATGAGGTTAATGAAAAGAGTTCCGGAGCCCTTGGAAAGCTTCCTGTAACATCAGTTCAGCCATTTTCTTGTGTTAGTTGCCCCTCCTCCAACTCAAGATTCATACTGAGATAGTAGCTGTACTGTGGATTTTATTATGTTCTAGGATCCAAGGACTTCTTCCTCTGCAACTTGATGTGTGCAGTGAGATGGTTCTAGAAGATTTTCCTTTGTACACCTCCCTCTTACTCTTTCCTAAGAATGCAATGTTGCCCAAGCTGGTATATTATGGACATTTTAATTGTAGGACTCTTTGGGAGCCAACTGGACTGAAACAAGGGCTATAAATATATCAAATGCAGGCTCTAGAAAGGTAGTTTTTCTGTTTTCTTATGTCTATTTGTCTGAGCTCTTTCACTTGTGACTTCTATTGATTATTGTCGGTTTTAGGTTTTGGGTTGATTTTAATTGTTTATTGATTCTGCCGGATGTCACCTGAGGCATCTATATGGAGAGACTGCAAATAGGCACCCTGAATAAATAAATAAAGTCTTCCAGCAACAAGTCCTGTCTTTTGAAACAGCAGCTACTTATTTTTCTCATGTGGGTAGTAGAACCAGTATGGGCTTCTCTCATAGTGATTTACAGGACAGAATTCAATTTTTTAATACTACCTTGCATCTTTCCTACAGGCCTTGTCTGATAACTTCCTGAAGTATCCCCTTTAAATTTGAATCAGGACTTTAATATATGACAAAAAGAGCTAAGGGAATTTGTGCTGTCACCACCAACTAGTTGAATGGTGCCATATTCACAGGAGATATTTCTATTAGTGAAATAAATATGGTCTATAATAGCCTTTTCTTTCCCTCTTTTAAAAACCCTGCCTATAAAACTTGTATTCTGGGACATTGTTGGTTGGGGAAGAGGAATACAGTCTGATTCTGGCTTTAAACCTCCCCCCTCCCCAAGAGAGGAAAAAGTATATTTTTTTTACTGAGATTTGGGTTGAAGGGAAAGTAAGTACGGACATTGCTTTTCATGCCTCCAGAAATCCCAAAACCTAGGGGTTTTTAAGCAGAATTAAATAATATTTTTGAAAAATCTGTATCTTCATTCCATATCAATTTGTATTAATATTTGCATTTTTCCTAATAGTTTTAAATATTATATACAAGGTTGCTCTGGGGAAAATTAGATTTCTTAAATTAATTGCTTTAATTTGAATGTTATTTTGGATGTTTGTCTCACATGTATACATGAAGTGTTTTGTACTGATTGTTATGGCCTGTGGCTGATAATGAACTGAACTGAAGGGAATGAATTGTATTACTGTTTTTGTTGTTTTAACAAGGCCTGATATACGGTAGATATTATGCCCAGGGAATGTTTTATAACCCACAGTTGCATCCAGAGCAGTCCTTTTCTGCATTTGTGCAAGTTATGAGTTGTCTTCTTTCTTTGCTATCTCACTTTCCACTTTATCCACTTCGGCTTCTTAGTAAACCAGGCAGCTTGTGCTACATTGGAACTGGATGAAGATGCCTGGGATCAGTAATCCTGTTGGCTATACCTTGCTGCAGGGGTCGTTTCGTAGAAAAAGAGCTAGGGGAACTCATTAGCATAACTCATTAGCATATGCCACACCCCCTGACATCACCGGACATGTGTCATAAGGCCACACCCCCTGACATCACCGGAAGTGTGTCATAAGGCCAATGTGCCCCGCCCCCGTACCTCACCCGGGGGAACTGTGATCCCCCGCGATCCCCCCCGAAATGACCTCTGCCTTGCTGCAATATCTACAAGTCAGTCAGCTACTGGAATAGCCACCAAAAATATAGGGTAGATGCTCCAGAGAGTTCTGCGTTTCCTTTGGTACTATGCATCTCTGGGAGCACACTATCTCAGTGGTTCACCATAGGGTCATGATGTGAATGCTTTTACATCTTCCACCATTACAACAGCATCACTTCTCATTTACAGATACACAGCTCCAGAATTCAGCCCCGCTTCAGTGCTAACAGACCTCATCCTCTTCCTCAACTGAATAGCTCTGCCTGCTTTCTACACGTACAGTAAATGCAGAGAAAAGTGCATGGAAAACATGGTATTATTTACTTTCAAGACTGGCCTTTTGTTCCTCTGTGACTAAGCTAGTACCCCGCCAGAGGCAGAACTGCACATAGGTTTGTAAAGCACTAAAGGAAAATGTTTCCTAAAACGGAGACACACATAGAGAGGGGGGGGGGGAATCATACCCATTAAAATATTTCCTCTTAAAGTAAATGATCTGGTTCCTATGCAGATACTTGAATGCACCAGAACCCTTAGGCTTAAATATCCAACAAAGCACAATGGAGCCTTTCTTTAGTCCAGTGGCAAATAGCAAAGTCCACTAGCAAACCCCGCCTTCTCCTTGGTTCTCAATAATGCTTTAGGGCTCACTTGATCCTCTTCCACTTTGAGGCAAACAGTGGCTTTGCTGAGTGCTTTTCATAGTCAGAAAGACCTGCGTCTTTGGCAGCAGAGTCCATAAGGGAGCCTCGCAATACCTTTTCATTCTTGGCCAGTTTACTGCATCTTGTTTATTAGTACAGTCCATGACAGACAAAGAGGAAGGGCAGATGATTTTTACTTTGAGCTTGTTATGTATTATAGGCTGTTATGCACTGTTGTGGTGGTGGTGGAAAATACCGTCAAGTCACAGCTGACTTATGGCAGCCCTGCAGGGCTTTCAAGGCAAGGGACGTTCAGAGGCGGTTTGCCGTTGCCTGCCTCTGCATCCTGACCCTGGTGTTCCTTGGAGGCCTCCCATAAGAACATAAGAGATGCCAATGTTGGATCAGGCCAAAGGCCCATCCAGTCCGAACACTAGTCAGGGTCGACGTCTGCTTAGCTTTGGAGATCTGATGAGATTGGGCTAACCTGGGCTATCCAGGTCTGGATACTGTTAGCCTATGTCATTTTAGGGATTGTTTCTTCCCTTAACCGATGGTGGATTTAGATTACTGTAGTGGTTACACATCAGGGCTATTTTGGGGCAGGAACGCACAGGAACGGAGTTCCGGCTGGCTCCCGAGTTGGCCACACCCAGCAGGAACTCATTAGCATAATAGGCTACACCCAACAGCAGAAACTCATTAGGATTGGCTACATTAGGGGTGTGTGGCCTAACATGCAAAGGAGTCCCTGCTACAAAAAAAGGCCCTGGGTTTTGACAACAAACAAAGTAAACAGAATAAGAAGCAAAAGGTGGGTGTGGCTGGATGACCACACTTCTTGCAACAGGGGGCTGCGACCTAATATGCTAATGAGATGTGGTGTCAGGGTGTGGCCTATTATGCTAATGAGTTCCTGCTGGGATTATCACACGAAAGCCTGATGGTCTGGAGATTTGATCACACATTGACTCACTTTTTGCTTGCACAGCAAGCAAGGGTTACAGAAAAGTCAGGTAACTTCTTATAATTACCTTTGCATGAGGGTAGCAGTTGGGACAGCCACTTCTGCTGTAGATTCATTACCCTGTATCTGGGCCCTTAATCGTACACTGCTAATACTGACAAATAGAAATTGAGCTATGACTCTTATATGAATCGTATTTTCCCCTGTCACAGATCTCAAGCTATGACTCTTGAATCGTATTTTCCCCTGTCACAGATCTCCATCCTTCTTTCTCAGACTTATTTGCCAATTTTGGAAGGTTGGTAAGTGGCAGGGCAGACTACAGGGCAAACGAGAGGAGCTCAGTCCTTGCAGGTCTCCTCTTTCAAAATAAAAGCAGTGCCTCTTTCCCCCTGCATGTGGGCACCTGTGTGGAATAATATTTCTATCAAACGTTAAGAGGTTCCAGTTCCGAAGCAAGGAGGATAACATTTACAATGCAGAGTTTATGCAGGTCGCAGCTATTATCCCAAAACCTGTCAATGACGTCTGAAGCGCTGCTGGCTGCCTTCAGCTATTTAGCATCCAGCGCAGGCATTTCCACGCTGGCCACAAATGTGGAGCAACAGATAACTTGGAATAATACCAACTCTGTGAGTTCTGTCACGGTGTGAAGGTCTCCTTGCGCTACTGCCCAGTGGACTAATAATAAATTTAATTCAAACCTATCCAGAACAGCTAGTTGAAGGGAAATGGCACATCAGGACACAGCTCAGACTGAAGAAAGAAGTACTTAATGTTAGAGGGGTGGGGGGGAATAAAAGTCTTACCGTTCTGTAAGTGCATCGCTCGGTGTGCTTTTCACAGACAGCTCCTCTTCCAGCCTTTTCCTTTCTGTTTCCAGATGCTCCAATTCATCTTGAGTGCGTTTACATGGGGTGACAAACTGAAGTTCTTTTAGAAGCTCTTCCTTTTCATTAATCAGCATCAGTTTCTCCTTCTCAATGTCCAGGGCCCCAGGCCAAGCTTCACTTTCTAGCTTAGACAGTTCAATCTTTAGATTGGCCATGCTAATATGAAAGTGCACAAAACATTTAGAGAGAAAGAGAGAGAGAGAATGGATGAGCAACATGTACTTAGGTGTCCCAAAGAATTCCCGTTTGGGGAGGAGGGACATGGTTCAGCTTGCAGTAATGCCACACAAAAGAAAAAGAAGACAGTGGTTGGTCTGAGGTTCACATTTAACGAAAAACTGTTTACACCATTACCATATGCACCATTACGGTATGCTCTTACCGTATCTTAAATGTTAGAGCTCCTTATCCAGATGGTTGATTTAGACTTCCATGCTATTCGTGACAGTTGCCATTATCACATGATAACTAGGTCATTAGAATATTTCACTACATAGTGAATCTAAAAGTGACATCTATTTAATCACAGATAAATAGTAAATGTATTGGAAGAAAAGTGCAGTTTCTTGCCTTCATGTCAGAACTGAGCTAGGGAGAGTTTTTCTCATATCCCCCCTCTGCCACAAAGCTTACTGGACAACCTTGGCACATTACATATAAGAACATAAGAAGAACACTGCCAAATCAGACCAGTGGTCCATCTAGTCCAGTATACAGTTGCCCTGAAGAAAACAGTGTTGCACTTACCTGTAACTGTTGTTCATCTAGTTGTCTCTGTGCAGGCAACACATGGGTACTGTGCATGCACACAGTCCAGCCACTGGAAGATTTCTAGTTAGCTTGGTAACAGAGCAAGAGGAGCCAACTGGAAATGTTGGAGCCACTTTCCCGCCCAATAGTCACGTGCTCCAGGGAGGGGATCCACACACTCCCTCAGGGCTCCTGAGCTGCCACCATGAGCCTATATATATATATTTTGCACCAGAGGAATAGCTCACAGTAGGGTAGGAGGGATGGATGTGGCCTGCACAGAGACAACTAAATGAACAACAGTTAGAGGTAAGTGCAACACTGTTTTCATTGTTGTTGTTCTGCACAGTCCCACATGGGAGACTAGCAAGCTGTCTTACCAGGCAGTGGGATAAGCGATTCACTGGAATATCAAATGCAGACCTGCTGTCCCCACTGATGTCTCCCTTCCTGTGTTAACATCTACAGAGGAGTGTTTAACAAAGGTGTCCGCAGATGATCAGGTTGCTGCCCTGCAAATAACAGATAATGGGATGCCTCTTCAAAAGGCTGCTGATGTCGCTTGGGCTCTCGTGGAATGTGCCCTTATCTGTAAAGGACACTCTACCGATGCCAGTTCATAGGCTCGTCTCTTAGTGGAGATAATCCGTCTGGATACTGTCTGAGCAGATGTTATTTTTCCTTTTGAGGGGCCAGCAAAGCAAACAAATAATTGTGGACCGTTCTAAATTCATCTGTCCTCTTTAAATAAAATAATAAAGCACATTTTACATCTAATGTACGTAGCCTTCTTTCAGCTGTAGACAATGGGTATGGGAAGAGGGTGGGAAGTGAAATATCCTGACTCAGGTGGAATATAGAAACAACCTTGGGTAAAAAAGCAAACACTGGTCTTAAAATCACTTTTTGGTAATGAAATTTTATAAAACAGTAGTCAGCTATCAGGGCTGTGATCTCTCTTACTCTCCTAGCAGATGTAATTGATACTAGAAAGAACCTCTTCAAAGAAAGGTTATTCAGGGAACAGATGACCAGAAGGTTCAAAAGGAGGTTGCATTAAATGAATGAGCACAAGGGACAGAGCCCATTGACATACAATGGGTGTCCTAGGAGGGTACAAATTATTAAGACCCTTGAGGAACCTCCTTGACACTTCATGAGAGAAGACAGATCTGCCCTCTACCTGAACATGAAAGGCAGAGATTGCTGCTAGATGGACCTTAACAGAAGACACTGATATACCTGAATTCTTCAAGGATCATAAATATTCCAAAATTAGAGATAACAGGCAGTTAGTAGGGGAGACTCCCCTGTCCCTTGACCAAAGAGTGAAGCACCTCCATTTGTAAGAACAGGAGAGCATGGTCGAAGGCCTACGAATATTAAGCAGAACTGATCTTAATGACTCAGAGAAGGGCTGTACATCGGAGTTCTCAACCAAGCACTCAGGTGCAGTCTCCCCACCTCTGGGTGAGATATACCCTGAATGCTCAATAAGTCTGGAGCTTGAGCTAGATGGGTAAATATGGCTCTCGATCTGTGTACTAGGACCTGGAACCAAATCTGTCTGGGCCAGAAGGGAGTGATTAGGATACAATGAGAGTTGTCCTTGACTAACTTGGCCACTACCTTTCTCTGTCAGAGGGATAGGAGGAAAGGCGTAAAATAAGGTCTGATTCCAAATTAATTGGGAGGCATTCCATAGAGAGAGAGGATCTAGACCCTTTTTTATAATGCTGTAATGTTTGGTTATACAGAGTCATGAATATTATTTGCTTGTACTATTTTAAGTTTGCTATTTATATGACTCGTAACTTTGAGTTCACTGTTTCTGAGAGTGAATTGGCTGGAACTCGCTGGAATAATGAAAATCATGTTCTGTGCCTGCTGAAAGAGTCAGGCAAGTTAAGGGTCTCTGGACTCCTTAGATATGCACAAAAGTGTGACTTTGTAAATTAGCCAAAAGAAAAATCCTTAAAACCCAGCCTGATGAATGCTCCAGAAGGAACAAAATGTCAGCAGCAGTTGAAAGTCAGTTAAAGGGACAAAAGGGGATGGGGAGAAATCAGGCCTCTCATGCCACTGAGAGCTCAGAGAATGCCGGATAATGCCCCCCCCCCCAATTCCTCACAGCCTCCGCAAGCGAAGGGAGAAGGCATTTTAAAATTCCAATTAATTTTGGGTTTCCCGATTATTTACCCAAATTCAGTATGTCATACTGATACTGGGATTCAGGAATATCGGGAAATACCAATGTTTTTCAGGTCCAAGAGACCTGAATAATTTTTTTAAAAGCCTATTTTTTTCATGCAAACCCCTAGTGCAAAACATTGACTGCCCCATCTTCTTGGGTCACAGACCAGGAGCAAAACTGTTTTATTCAGCACCCTTGATCAGCCTTAAAATCCTTGAAATTCTTTCCTCAGCTAAACAACAGCTTCAAAGAACTTTCTACATCTCAGATTATATTCTTTCACATAATCGTTTTTATTAAATAGGAACTTTTGCCCTTTGATGACAGTGACAAAATCACTTGGGGGGGGGGATTTAAATCCAAAAACGTTGCTGAGGAAGTGAAATCAATGCTTATATATTTTAAGCAATGTAGTTCCTGTGACATCTGTATATGGAGCATTCTGAAGAGAAACCAGATTGATAGCCTAAGACTGATAATAGAATGCAGAAGCTCTAATCTCTGGGTCACTGGTTCAAATTAATCCAGGCTTGGCATTATCTGAAAGCAGGCACTTTTGACAGCTGTTCAATGACTTACAAGATGAGATGGCACTCTCACAGGGACTCCTTTTTCTCTCTACAACAGTTGACAGTTATCTTCTGTCGTAATTGGCACCCTTGTTAGCCATCTCATCAAAAGGACCCAGGATAACAAGGACAGGGACACTAAAATGTCCTCTTACCCTCTGAGTGCAACATCTTCTTAACAGTGTCAAGGCCCTTTATACACATGGCATTATCAACATCTCACACTGCACTTGTTCTCTGCGAATAAAGATTTCAGCCCACCTTGCAACACACAGTTTGTCAACATCAACGTTCATTTTAAGGCAGATCTCTTTCTATCTCTCTCTCTCTGTCTTGTCTCTTTGGAGAGGGGGAAAAGTCAGTTGTGGCCAATACAACCTTTTCCGTAAATGCTGAAGGGTATTATTTGAGGTGTCTTGAAACATTACGGAAATTGTACCACAAACTTGTTAAAATGATGAGGGAGGGAAAAAGGACGATTACTTCAAATTGTACACTCTACTGTGTTATACACTATAAACAGATCCTGACCTTAGTCAGCTTGACTTGCGAATCTCCCCACATTCCCCTTCTCTTGCAAATCCTTCCTTGGGCCCCGCTGCACCCTGATTTTTGCCCTGCCGCTGGGTGACGTCTTCCCTAACTCCACCTCTCTCCTGCTTGTTCAAATATCACCCCCACCCCCTGTGTCCTGGTGTTTTCTGTGTTACCCATACTTCATAACTCAACTCAAACGTGGTGCTGGTGGGCAAGAGGGAATTTACATGTCTGAATATTCAAAAGGGCTTTGCACGCCAAGCTGTTTTTGTGTGGGTAGTGGGTAGTGGTGGCAGAGAGTGCCATCAAGTCACAGCTGACTCACGGTGACCCCGCAGGGTTTTCAAGGCAAGAGACAAACAGAGGTGGCTTGGCCATTGCCTGCCTCTGCACAGCAACCCTGGACGTCCTTGGTGGCCTCCCACCCAAGTACTAAACAGGGCTGACCCTGTGGGTAGCAGCCCTGTTTAAATTAGAAATGTGGCATGTACAAAATCACATCAGTAAGTTCTTCCTTCCTGCCAGTGTCATATTTAAATCAGGCCTAAGACACCGAGACAGACGGGGTCCTTTCTTTATTATGGTATGCAGTGACCGTCTATCCAGGGGCGACCCTCCCAGACTCCTCACCCAGCATACCGCTGACCGGGAAGCCCCGCAAAGTGAACCTGGCACCCCACAACTCACCTCCAGCGAGGGTGGTGGGGTTGCGGCAGTGGAAGGAGGATGGACTCTTCACCCCGAGCTAGGGGGAGAGGCAGCAAGGAGGACGAAAACAGTGGGGAAAATGGGGGTGGCGGACAAACAGGTGGCATCCACACTAGAGGCCAGGAACCTGACGGCAGCAACATGGCCTTCCGCGGCAGGCAGAGAAATAGTGGGCCAGCTGCAGATGCCGTCAGCCAAGTCAAGGGCCCCAGTGGGGCGAGAGGAGACCATGTTGTCTCAGGGGAACCGCAGTGGGGAGAACCCAAAGCTGGAACAGGCCCATCCAAGGCAGAGCAACTGTCTGGCCCCACCCCACACCGAGAGCAGAAGTGGGGGACAGAGTTACCAGGAGGAAACCCAATTGGAGGACAGCCCTGTCCTTGGGCACAGCATTTTTGAGGGTGGGGGCTCCACCCTTCAGGGAAGGATTTAAGGGGGAGGTTTCAGGCGGGCCAGGGAGGAAGAGCATGGAACTCTCTATGGAGTGTGTGGAAGAGAGAGAAGCCAAAAGAGAGCCCATGAGCAGGAAAGAGGGAGAAGGGTGCTCTTAACCTCCCTCCTCCTGCATCATCTGAGGCATATCCGCAGAGCCTACTGGCCAGAGATTGAGCCTGGGAGGAGCCTGCCCCCTCGAACACAGGCCCCAGGACCCGACACCATCAAACCGATGTTTAACTAACATGAAAGATGGTCAGTTGAATATAGGCACAGTCCAGAGAGTTCCTATTGATGCAGCCATCAGGACTCTTGTTGCTACTTGAAAGCACCTTGCCGAGGCCACAATGAAACTGCTTTCGAAATAACTCTGAGTTTCAAAAGTCGATTGCCGAGTAGAAGAAGAGACGGCTATTTGAAAAACAGGACTAAAGCCTCATGGGGTTAATCATATGATGTTTATCATACAGAGTTAATCATTTGGGGATTTGAAACTTTCTGAATTATTTATGAGTCTGGGGCTGGGCTTCCCATCCCTGCACTCACCATCCTGAGAGGAGAGGCAGTGAGGAGAAGCTGCAGGAGCCCGGCCTGCTGTGGCAGGAAGTTCCAGGGCCAGGCCAGCTGGAAAGAGCAGCTGCTGGAGGTGGTGGTGAAGAGAAAGCTGGAAGGCAGGCCGTGGTGCAGGTGGCACCGTGGGAAACAGGCCCCCACCGAGTGCTCAGCTTGGGTGGGGGGGTCTGAAGACAGCGCAGCCCCTGGGGCAGAGGGAGCGGGTGAGGTTGGAGGTGCCCCATTCCAAGGGGCCCCGTTAAAAGGTGGACCCTGGGAGATCTCACCTAAGGTATCCAATAAGAGGCCACTGGCAGGAGCAGGAGAGAGATCCAGGTGCTGACAAGAAAACCCAAAACCCTCCTCACCTTTTTTCTGAGGCTCTTCCCAGGGTGAGCCCCACTAAAAGGGAACACTGGAGGGTGTGACAGCTCTGGGCTCCAGCCTGGCCTAAGATACCTAGACATTTGTGGTGGATTCTAACAACATGTTTCAACTCTGATTCTTTCTAAGAAGTGTAGACTCCGTGGCTTTTGCCTAGATCCTTCTGGGTAGGGGTGCCAGCCTTCAGGTGGGACCTGGGGATCGCCTGGAATTACAGCTCATCTCCAGACTACAGAGATCAGTTCCCCTGGAGAAAATTGATGCTTTGCAGGGTGGATTTTATGGCACTGTACCCACTGAGGTCCCTGTTCTCCCCAAGCTCCATCCCCCAAGCTCCAGGAGTTTCCCTATCTGAAGCTGGCAACCCTAACCCCCACCCCACCCCCACCAATGGCCAGGAGGGACCTGACAACCCTACTTCTGGGCCACCTGTCCCAGCTCTCTTGCACTCCCTCCCTCTTTGATACTGGTCTCTGTCTTCTTGACATTCATATACCAGGTGCGGTACATGCTTGGCTACTTGTGCCCAATGTTAATATCTGGTTCCCTGGACTGTGGCCTAGGACTGCTTCACATCTTACATACTGACAACACGGAAAAGTCTGTACAAGTAGCATCCCTGTCTAAAAAATTAAATGCAAGACAGGTACATACAAACAATCAGAAACTGGGGTGACTTTATTTACCCCATTTATATCCAAGTTTTGGACAAGGGGGTGGCTTGAACTAAAATTCCTCCATCATTAGTTTGTAATGTGGAAACAGGCCATTTCAGCAAGAGGAAACTTGGAATAAGATGCCCCTTAGGATGTGCTTGGCTGTACAGGGACAAGGCTCAGCATCAAATGCAGTTACATGTCAAGAATTCTGTCACAGCTGGGAAACCTTACAGTCAGATGGCATTTATTATGCCCACAGATATTTTACAGAACTGGTAAGAATAAATTTTTATGAGGACTTTTTGTACCCCACAGTAGAATTATCTACTGGTTCTGAATAATCAAGTATGCAGAAAGCTGGCGCTGAAAGCTGACACTTGGTTAAATTGCTTCACACGGGTTGAAAATATTCATAGCAAACCGTTGCACCGTTTCCCAGTTAAGAATGAGACTAACTTATCTGTTCAGCTTGTAAGTAATGCTGTGTAATACTGTATGTTAATAAGGTGACAATATTTCTCTCATTATTTCAAGGGCAGTTCTACAAATAAAATTATTTTTACTAAAAGCAGTGCAGTTTCAAGATATATTTTGGAACTGGAGGCATTATAATGATTTACTGAAACAGTTCTTACCAACCCCCGCCCCCCAAAGAACTGCAGTTATAAGAGTCTCAAACCACACGCACCAGTTGAAACGGAGGGGAAGTGAAGCTACTCCCTCTGGAGGAATTTGAACCGCAGTTTCAAGAACACACAGCCCTTTGTTGCTGCGGACTTAGCCCGCCACTGTGTGATCAGATGCAACTGCGAGTGAGTTAGGTTTTTTTGCCATTTGTTTCCTATGCGCATAAATGAGGAATTGCACCTCTGCACCGAAGGCCCCTTATGGGTATGCAATGATGTGCATACTTGCAAAGAGGGGGTGGGGAGACGTCACCAAGCCAGGATAGCCTGATCAGACCATCCCAACGGTTCGGAAGCGTGCTTGTGCGATCAGACAGGGGAAACTCCGTCCGTGGCCCATTGCAACCCGTTTACTCCTGGATTTTCTCCAGTGTCTTTTTACTCCACTTCTGCGGTGGAGCTGCGCGGGTTGCCGATGGCTGCGGGATGCTTCCCAGATGTTGCTGTCTGATCACGTCCTTTTGATCTGTTGGGCACTCATGCCTATGTCTGATTTTCTGGCGTGGGTGATTGCAGCCTTACACTAGCATAATTAGATATGGGGTTATTTCATCTTAATGTTAAACAGGTTAACGATTGAGAGGCAAAATTCTGAAGCATTACCACTAAGGCACTGTTCTGAACAGTGCAAGCCTATGCAGGGGCACTCTGGTCTAACCCTACTGAAATTAATGGGTTTATACCGGAGTAACATTGCGTAAGAATTGCACTGTTAATCACACATTACATTGTTTCAACTAACATCATCTTCTATTGGATACAGTCAGTTCTGAAGTGCACAGTTAATGGTCCTCTTACTATGAGTTCAAGAAGCTGATGTATAAAACAGTAAAACAGAGTTTACAAATAAATTCCTGACTTTCTTACCCGAGATATTCGTTTAGTTCACATATGAAGAGCTGTGAAACTATTTCACTTCTGCTGAGCTCGCTGAGCAAACTGTGTATAGTTCTATGGTTTGAATACGACCATTTTTTCCACTCGTGAAAAAGGGTGGATGGGGGGTACCCCCTGACCAGCAAAAAAGTGATGCTGGGGATCCGGGCAGCTCTATGGACAAGAGCCATGTGGGACAGGGCAGTGGTAAGGAAGAGAACTGGGTGAGACTGAATGAGAAAGCTGGCTGGACCCAACCAACCTAGGGTTGCCAACTCTGGGTTGGGAAATTCCTGAATATTTGGGGGTAGAGACTGAGGAGGAAAGGGTTTACGGAGAGGGGCCTCAGTGGGGAATAATCCCACAATGTCCACCTTTTAAAGCTGCTATTTGATCCAGGAGAACTCCAGATAGTTGTCTGGAGACCAGTTGTGATTCTGAGAGAGATATCCAGGCCCCAGCTAGAGGTTGGCAATGCCAGCCCCAGGTTTTCAGCCCTCACAAAACAGTGCAATGTTTAGAATTTGTGTAGTCTAAGAAGATAAGAATGTTCAGCAGTCTTTTTACTTAAAAAGAATGTTCCACAATCTTTCTACAGATGCATCCAGTAGATGTCACTGCATGCATGAGATTGGTTGCAAAGCTACATACACTCAGATTTCAATTCACACTTTACCAAAGAAATGAACCCTGTCATTACCTTCTTTTGGCTTCTTCATACTGAAGACTCAGCCTGACCTTTTCAGCTAAATTGGACCTATTTCTGACACCAACCTGTTGAGAGAATCACCAAGGTTATTACGCAAATTATTTTAAAAAAAACAAAACCCACACCCACAGCAGAATGCGACTCGCAAATTAACGTAAATTTCTCTAGATAAAGAACACTAAATAGAAACACATTTCACAATAGTAGTAATTGGTTTTCTGCACAAACTCTAGTAATTACTCAAATATTTTCAAGCAGAATTTACATTTTCAACTGCAAAATCACCTCAGGACAAAATTCAGTAAAAGCAGGTGCAATTCTGTTAAAGGCCCACTTTGAATCAACGTTTAATTCATCCCAAGTTGTTGCTTACTACTTTGAACTCAGAACTTTGCTGGAGATCAATGAAGTTCAAAGTAGAACTTCAATGAAATTGAGACTGCTAAAAAACCACATTCAAGTTTGGAGTCTTCTCAGAAAATCCCAGTACAATCACTGCCACAGCCTTTCATCACACTACCTTAAAGGAATATGCCAGCATTTGGAAAACATTTGTGGATGCAAACCAATGGCTGGCATATAGGTCGATGAGATCCCAAAGATCTTTCAGTTGCTGAAACATTAATTCCATCAGTCAATGTCAGAAGTAGAGAAATACATTTTCGATGAAATATTTGCTCACCACTTTCTGAAACTGGGTAGCTTTGAACTTGACCTTTACATTCATTTACCTTGACAATCTCCATTAAAGGAAAAACAAACAACATCCACATAAATCTAAGAACTGTAAGATAATTATGTGATCTCTCTAGGTCACTGTTCAAGGACCTTTTTGATTAAATTAGCTTTTGAAGGTTTTGTAATTATTTTTAGTTTTAAAATTACCACAAAGATAGTTGACATTTCAGAGAAAAGACCTCTGCTACTAATTTAAGTTTTTAAAATACATTTTCTGAATACTTGTAGTTATTCTCAAATGCATGATGGCAGGTTTTTGCAAAGTTCTTCAAAGGAAGGGCCACATTTTTAAAACCTTCTCTCCTGAGACATTATAAAGGATGTTTTTTGGGGGGGAGTTTATAATTTATACTGCTTTTTTCTGCCTCAGCTTCTTGGCAATCAGAAAGACCATAGCAAAGTTATAAGGAGGAAGTCCAGTTTCCATTGCTCTAAAAATATTCCTGTGAAATCTACCCTTCAGAATTTCACATATACCACAGAATATTTTACCTTGCGCAACAGTCCATTTTTCAATGAGGAAAATATTTCTGTGTGGAACGTTCTACCCATTCTACTAGCAACATGTTTTGCTAGCCATTGGATTCAAAATCCTTTCAAAAACATTCTACATTTTTTTTGTCCCTTTACTACCTTTAGGTGGCTTGGAAAACTTACATCACCAGAAACGTCTGTCTGTGAACCTGCATCCAAAGTTTGCCTAGAAAGGGAGAGCTGAGAGTGCGCTGGGCTGCAACTCAGATCTGGTTCGGATCTGCCAATAGTTTGGTCAAAGAGAAATCTTCCTCTCAGCTTTGCAAGACTCTGGGGGGAAAGACAAAAAGTGACATAGTGTTATGCTATAAGGTCATTCGTACGAATTTATGTGAGCCGCCATGAGCCCGCTTACGGGGAGGGTGGGATACAAGTCAAATTTATATATATATGTATATATATATATACACACACACACACACACGGAAAAAGACCCGTTGTGGAAATAAATACAACAACCTCTAGAAAGAGGCTCTGGGTGGGTGCCCCGGCCTTGGACACTCAGTGTGAATTTGCTGTGGCGACCTCAGCAGGGTATAATGACACTGAGTCCACCATTTTCTCCAGAGGAACTGATCCCTGCTACCTAAAGAGCAGTTGTAATTTCCCCAGAAGGGAATAGTTGGTTTGGATGGTTTGGATGGTGGAGTCTATGGCTTTGTACCTGTCTGAGGTCCCACTTCCTGAAACTTCACCCTCTCCAGGCTCCATCCCTCACATCTCCAGGAATTTCCCACCTGGAGTTGGCAACCCTATCTTCTTCCCAGCCAACCATCAACCTACCTTTATTTCCCCCCACTCTTCAGCTTTCCACCCCCCACCCACCTGCAGCCTCTCCCGTGCTCTGAAGCCCTGACTGCTACGTCACATTGCCTGTCATACGGGGGCCACCTCAGCAGCATATAAGGATACAGAGCCCACCATTTTGTCCAGGGGAACTGATCTCTGCCATCTGGAAAGCAGTTGTAATTCTGAGGGATCTCCAGCCCTCACCTGAAGATTGGACACATTTTACCTCAGAACGGAAAACTGTTTAAAATGTTAGAGGCAAAAGCCAATCAAGTCACATATGCAAAGGACCTCTGTGTTCTGAGGCAAAGGCCAATGAGGCTGCATATGCAAATAACCTCTGTGTTCTGACTAGCTATGGGGGGGAGAGGAACAGCAAAATGTTTAGAATGTTGGAGGCAGGACTCAGGCAAAGCAGCCAGTGGATAGGGAGACCCTCTGAATGACAGATAGAGAGCGACCTGATTTTGGAGAGTGTGGAATGTTCTAGAAAAGTGCCACCACCATTCGGCTTTTATGTATAAGGGAGATATTTCCCCCCTGACAATTCACTACATCCATATTGAGAGTCAACACACCTCAAGGGTATCTTTACAGTATGGTAAGAATTATATAAGCATGACAAAAAGTAAGCTATAACAAGAGGGTAGGTGTGACAATCCTCCTTGTCACGGCTGCATTGCCCTTGTTCTTCCACAGTGGAAGGCCTGCAAGGCCTCAAACAGGAGAGGGGAAGGGATTGTATCATCTGATTCCTCCTCTTTTCTATATCCTCCACTCTCACATGCTGTCTGAGTGAGGATACTTAGGGCTGCCAGTGGGAGATGGTGGGCACCAACATTACACTTGGCTTTATGTCACTTCCAGGGAAAATCAGACGTGATGTCACATTGCTTTAGGAAAAACAGGTTGCTTACCTGTAACTGATGATCTTCGAGTGGTCATCTGTGCATTCCCACCCATGGGATCTAGTGCGCATGCGCTGGATCGATCGGTGCTGTAGCAAGCTCTTTTAATGGATTTTTGCACCCAGTCCCTCGGGCATGCGCTGGAACCCCATCGCGCATGTCCAGAGGGGTGGGCGCGGACATCCCGCCAGTTCCTTCAAACTGCCGCAAATCAACCCCTATTAAAAATGTAGAAGCTGACAGCAGCAGGGAAGGAGGGCGGGTGGTGTGAATGCACAGATGACCACTCGAAGATCATCAGTTACAGGTAAGCAACCTGTTTATCTTCGACGTGGTCTCTGTGCTTCACACCCATGGGAGATTAGCGAGCAGTGGACTACCTGGAGGAAGGTGCTGGCAGGTCCTTTACTGCGTAGCCGAAGACAGAATGTGACGTCCCATGCTGGTATTGGTGTTCTTACGGACGTCTAGGGCGTAGTGCCTAATGAAGGTGTTAGGCGTGGCCCATGTAGCGGCTTTGCAAATGTCCATCAGCGGCATTCCCTGGAGGAAGGCAGTGGAAGTTGCGACAGCTCTGGTAGAATGAGCCCTGATAGGGCCAGACAATGGCTGTTTGGCGATCAGGTAACATAGACGGATGAGACCCACAATCCACTTTGACAGGCGCTGAGCCGTGATGCGAGTACCCAGCCGTGCTGACGCGTAAGAGATGAACAGTTGCGAGTCTTGTCTAGTTGGGTGTGTTCTATTGAGGTAGAACAGGAGAGCCTGCTTCACATCTAAAGTGTGTAATAATTTGTCCTCCGCTGATGCTGGATTAGGGAAGAAATCAGGGAGGAAGACCTCCGCCTGCAGGTGGAACTCTGACACCAACTTCGGCAGGAAGGAGATATCTGGTACGAGGTGGACTCCGTCTGGCAGAAAGGACAGGTAAGGTGTATCGTGCCGGAAAGCCAATATTTCTCCCACTCGTCTAGCCGAGGTGACAGCAATTAAAAAGGCCGTTTTCCATGTTAGAAGTTTTAGGTCGCATGTTACAAGCGGCTCAAAGGGCTTTCTCGTGAGCTGGCGGAGAACTAGAGGAAGGTCCCAGGGAGCGACTGGAGTTTTGACAGGAGGGTAGAGATGCAATAAACCTTTTTAAAAACGTTTTGAAATTGGATGGGAAAACAAAGTACATCCGTCAACTGGAACATGGTAGGCCGAAAGAGCGGCCAAATAAACTCTCAACGATGAATGGGAAAGTCCCGAGTCAGCTAGGGAGAGGAGGAATTGGAAAACTCTTTCGAGACCCACTGAGGTGGCTCGAGGGGCGTCATCACCTAGGGA